GTGCTGAAATTTGACCAGAACTTTTCTTTGTACCACTAAGACTTCATGGCATACTTGTTAATAGTGCATTTGTCAAAAAGTTATTTTTATCTATAGGCTTCTTTTATACAAAAAATAGGAATCAGTTAAATGTAACTATTCAAATATATATTTAATGATTGGACTACTATGAAATCCTAAAATTCAAAGTTCAAACTGTCTAATAATTTAATAGTTGTCTAAATTATTACCATAGAATTTTACAAATCACGATAAATTTTAGGATTTTAAAGTGTATCCTATAATTATTATTATTTAAACTAACTTTTAATCTTTAGCCAGAAAAGGTTTTAAATATGTGCAAGTTGCATGCTTCAACGCTTTATAAGATCAGAATTAAAAAAATTAAAAATAATATAAATTTTATGAATTCTAATTTTGCAGCTTTGATACTTCAGAATTCTAAATTAAAAGAGGATGAATTATTTAATAAATTAAGTGGAAATTATATTTCAAATATAGCAGAATAGTCTAAAATATTGGAAACTTGGGTTTTAATAGTAGAAGATGAGAAAAATTCAAATGAATTATATGATAATGATGACTATGACAATAATTTAGATATAATAGCAAATAATTCTTCTACAAATCAAATCATATTTAATACAACTCATCTAGCTAATAATCTATTAGTCAAATGAAAATCAGAAGGTCTTTTTGTATTAGATATGGTTGTATTACATTATATTGTAAAGGCTGAAATATGAGAAATGCAAAGAAAACAAAAAGAAATCAAATTTATTAGAAATGAAATACAAAACAAAGTTGAACCTGAAAATTCTATTGAATCATCAGTGGATAGTAATAGTAAAGAATCAGATTAAAATTAATTGGGGTTCATAAAAGTTTTCTAAAGAATTTTTTTTTTATATTATTTATATGTCTCTTATTTATATTATTATTAAGAGTTTTATTTAGGATATTATCTTACTCGTGATATGAGTATATAAGTTTATAGTATAATTTTGCTTATAGCTTTTTTAATTAAAATCAATAATACTAATGAGATATTATTAAGATTTATGCTTTTCAATTGCTATAATAAAACCTTAATCAATACTTGAGCAGCTTTAATTAATAAGTCAGTGCTTAATTTTTTAATTAGTGAAATTATTTGGTCAGCAAAGTGAGTTTATTATTAAATAAAAAAAAAAGTCTCAACTATTATCATTTCGCACTATAAATTTTAACAAAATTATTAAAGATTACTCGATTAATTGTAGTACTATGCATGGTCTCGATTACTATCAATTACGCGATATTATAATCTGTGCTCGGTTAAAGAATCAGATATAAAGTAATACAATCAAAACAAATGTTCATTTTTTCAAAAATTGCTTCTTTCTCAAAAATCTGCATAGTAAACCACCTTTAGTGCACTAACAAAAAGTTTTTCTTGTACGATTTTACTATATAATCACTTAGCTTTTAACTTTATACGAAATGCCAACCCTAGCATTAATGAACTTTAAAGAATTTTACATAATGATCGGCAATATGCATAACCGAGCACAGATTATAATCTTGCATCAATTACAATAAGATGCTTAAGAACATCTATAAAAATACTGTAGCTATCAATAACAATCTATAGAAAAAGTATAATAATAATATTTATTAACCAGAATAATAAAATTTTTTCTTTAATGCAAGATGTATTTCTTTAGATTATGTTATATAGACAAAAATGTACCATGACTAAAAGAAGTTTGGTCAATTGTTCTGTGATTGATGATTGTATATACATACATACCTAAAACCAGTTTGAATATATGCATATTAATATATTTGCCCATGATCAAATAATATTGACAAGGCTTATGCACCAAATCAGGCATGATTCAAATGTATGACTATGTATGAGATTTATAGTAACAAAATTTAATATCTTCATGTTACTCAGGAAAGGCTTAAGATTATAATAAAGAAATTGCTATATAAATAAAAGATAGTTTGTTAGTGTTGTTAGTGTTGGTTTTAGTATTAGTAATAAACAGTAGATTAGTAAATAGAAATATACTCACTAAATTATCCTTGCCCTAAATAGAAAGCACCTTCTTTGTTTTTTTAGTTCATAATATAAATAAAGTGCTATAAGATGCTTGAGAATACTCTTATTCAAGAAATATAGCTGTTTATTAGATAATTAAATCTATAGACAATATTCAAGCACTATAAGTATTCTTATTAAGGTTATAAATTTTTGTTAATCGAATTTTAATTATCTAAATATGTTTAAGTAATTGATCTTAGTAGACAAGCAATTCAATTTTAGTGATACAAGTAGAATCATCTCAATAATAGTCACCATATTGCTATAACTTGCTATTACTATAGCAAAGTGATATAGTAAGTTATAGCTATAATACCATAACTTACTATATTATTTACTATAGTTATGCAAGTTACAGCAATGTGATGACCATCATTGAAATGATTTTATTGTATTATTACTCAATTCTAGCAATTTATTATTTAGTTACAATAATTAAAAAATAAGTATTCTTATTAAAATTAAAAATTTTTGTTAATCGAACTCTAATTATTCAAATATGTTTAAGTAATTGATCTTAGTAGACAAGTAACTCAATTTTAGCAATTTATTATTTGGTTTCAATAATTAAAAAATAATTGATTCTAATAAGTTAGATACAAATCAGTTCTGAACTAAACTATAATCAAAAGCATTTTTTTACTATAGTTTATTAGTAAAATTTGGATATTAATTATTAATTTAATATAAAATTGACTTGTTAGTTTATTAAAATCATTAGAATAGTTAAAATCAAATTATTTATATACTAAAATAAATTAACTTATTAAGTAAAAAATTTTAAATTTAATTAATATTAAATATTTAATTATAATAAATAATATAAATTAAATTAATATATTAATTTGTCTATTGTCTAATGATTTGATTAGATATCATTAGGCCATTAGACTATCTATTGTGTCTATTGACTTGTTTATTGGCTGCTCACAACCCTGGGTAAGACATCTAATAATATTGAGTTGATAACCTGTTATAAAAAATTATCAATAAGATTATGCAATAGTATAGATAATGAGCAAGTAATCCAATATGCGTACACTTATTTGCACCTGTGATACAAATCAAATAAAGAAATTTTCTTATGTAGATTGCAAGATCAGGTGTAACTGTTGGTGTAATATAAAAATGAAGGCTTTTTAAAAAAATAGCCAGTAACTCAAAATTCTGCCTAAGAAATCACCTTTAATATTCTAATAAAAAAAATTTCTTGCAAAATTTTAGTATATACTACACCTTACTTCTAACCCTAATATCATGACTCTTATGCGTTATTTGTGCTAATAAAAAGGAATATTTTTTGTTTTTTTCTTTTTTTAGTTTGTATCACCAGCACAAATAAGTAAATCGATCCAATGTAATGGTATACTAATTTGATTGTATTGATAATAGTTGAGTAAGATATGATAATTGCATTTATACAATATATAAAAAGTAGATAACTTATCAAGCAGAATTTTAACTCAAAATGATTTAAGAGTAGAAAATTGGAAACTATGTGAGAAATTTAAAATTTTTTGATTATTATTAATATAATGCCAAGTAGCAGGCCAGTTCATATGAGTAGCAATTTAAGACTACTATTGAAATCTGCACTGAGATAACCATAAAGTATAGAAATATGAATAATATATAGTATGGATAGAATATTGAGTTAGTAACTCAAGAGGGTATTCATTTAATTGAAGAGAATAGTTGAAGTTGTAGATATTATAAGGTTTAAAAATAAGAAAGTCTGAGATAAGGTGACTATGAGCCAATTGGTCAGTAAGATTATTAAATCAATCCTCTTGATGTGCAGTGACTTTGTGAAAAATAATTTGGTGGTTGTATGATTGAGTAAAATTAATAAAGATATGCTATAATGTTAAGTATGGAGTGTTCATAGTAGAAAAAGAGTATGGTAAATTTTGAAGGCTATTATATTTAGAAATAACAGATTGTGAATCTGTAAAAATATAAAAAATACAAGATCTAGATACAGTACTAATTGCTAACAATATAGCAACAAGTTCTGCTTTAAAAGAGCATAGCCAGTATTTGATTTGTGCTTGGAATTTGTGTAATATATTGTTCTGTTAGATTTGTACCTATCCAATACCCATGGAGCAGTCTTGTATACAAAAGTCTAAGACAGAACTATCTGTATAAAAAGTAATTTCAGAACATTGAGTATTAGAGTTGGCAATAGTTTGAAGTGTATTAGTAAGAGATTCAGATTCAAATATAGATAGAATTGAAGCAGTGTTGTAAGAGATACTGGGAGTAGATAGAATATGGAGAGGATGATGAATTGCAATAAAATATATTAAATCTAAATGATTAGTATAAGGTTTAATAGTTTTTTTCTTAAGAGTTGTAAATGCAGAAAAATGGAGAGAGGTCAATAGAAAACAAGCAAATTTTTTCTAAGTAAATTTTTTTAAACTTTTAATTCAAATATTTTAACAACTATCAAACCAAATCTAATAAAAATTTTTTTATTTTAATTCTATTTAATTATAAATCAAAATAAAAAAAATTATCAAGTTTAGTTTAATATTTGTTGAGATATTTGAATTTAAATTTGTAAAAAAAGTTACTAAAAACAATTTGCTTGTTTTCTATTAACCTCACTCCAAATCTAGATGCTAAATTAATAGAAATAAATATTGTACATCTATTGGCAATAAGATTAGAATTATGACAACAGCCAGGACACATACTAAAATTAATAGGTTAAGTTGAGTATAATTTGATAAATTGTAGTAGAAAGGAGTATTGCCAGTATATAATAAAGACAAGACCAGTTGGGGTGATCTATCTTCTTGCTTTACCTACTATTATTTGGTTCTCAATAGTAGTTATAAGCTATAGCTTTGATTTTAAAGAAATGTAATATCTTCAAGAGTTGTAAACCAAAGAGGTTTTCTTCCTCTAGAAATTTTACAAAGTCTTGATGCAATATGCTTCTAGTTAAGAAGACAAGAATTGTTATATATAGAAAGTTGATCTAAATAGAGGAGATGAAGTTTGCAATGTTGTTTCTTAAAAGATATATAATTAGAGTGTGATGAAAGTATTGATTCAAGAGACATAGAGCTTTCTTGAGAAGTATATAGAATCTTATAAATTGGATTGTGGGTAATTGATATACCGAGATAATTAAAAAGCTTAAAAATTTTAAGTTGGTTGAATTTTTGTTAGAACCATCAATAATAGGATTAGAATGTGTTAAGATATTTGTAAATAACTAAAGATTGTTTTGAATTTGTTGAAGATTACTTCAGAAACTAGTGTCTAGAAGATCAGAGTTGTTAATTTGCTTGATATAGTTGGTAATATGATGTTGAAGTTAAATATCCCAGATATTATGAATATTATAAAGTTGTAGATAAAGGAGAATACTTGTAGAAATTGTATAGTTTAGCTTAGCCTTGTGCTTAACAAGTTTAATATGATGTGAAAGTATTTGTTTACAGATTTGTTAGCTAAGAACAAGATTGTAAAGTCGATATTCAATAGTTAGTATAATAATAGTATTAATAATATATTGAGTATATATGTTAGTAATACACTTAGTATCTGCAATTTGAATAAGGTGTAGTG